TTTTCCTTCTACATAAAGAAAACTTTTGCATGGTAGTGTAGGAATTATACTCGTGGGTGATACTTATTGTTAGAATATATATTTACTTAAGAAAAGAAAAGATACAATTAGTGAACTGGCACGTCCTTAGCTCACAGAACAACGAACGACTCTCCCTACATCCGTCATACAGCGCTCTCTGCTCACACACGCACACACACTCTCGGTCGGCGCCCGGTGCGCCGCCGACTGCGACGGCGCGCATTTTGGATCTCGGTACGCGCTCGCACTCCTACATTCGGCCATTCTGACCGCTGCACGGCTCGGGCAGTAATTTGTGTATTGCCCATGGTTTAAGATACTCGGCGCACGTTGAAGTAGTCAAAGGTCCCTCGTGGGTCCCGACGCGTTCCACATCATACGTATCATTTGGCTTAACATTAGTTATTTTATAAGGACCGAGGAATTTAGGCCGTAACTTTAACCCTGGACTCTGCTGGGTACGCTTGATTGCCACCAAATCACCTAAACCGTATTTATTCGGATTTTTTCGACGCAGGTTATACACTCGACGATTTTCGTTTTGTACTTCTAAAATCTGATTTTTCGCGATATGACGCAATTCGTTTTCGCTCATTCTGAAATTGATCGCGTAACTCTTCTTCCAACAACTCTTTAAGACGAAAATCAGCTTTACTTCGTAGCTTAGTACCGAAGAGTAGTTCGAAAGGCGTTGTCCCAATACTGCGGTGAGAAGATGAGTTAATTATCTGCTGTAATCTACCGATGTGTTTATACCACTTGTCTGGTTCGTCTACTGATAATTTACTCAAAACCGATACAATGGTACGATTTAACCTTTCAACTTGACCGTTGGCTCTGGGTAGCCCAGCGGTCACAGTCGAGTGTCTTATCCCTTCGGCCTCGCAATACTCTCTAAATTCGTTAGAAGTGAATGCAGATCCTTTGTCGCTTATAATCTGCGCGGGATTGCCAAAATAAATCTTTTGTATTTCTAACTTATTAATTACTTCTTTGGCGGTGGTTGACTTTGTAGGATATAACCAAACAAACTTACTAAAACTATCAATAATTGCTAAAATATGAGCATAGTTCTTATTAGTTGAGGGCAACGGACCCAGATGATCCATATGATATGTGTGGAAGGGGGCGTCCCCTTTTACAATAGGATGAAGAAAGCCTTCTTGCTTTCCACTCTTTCTGTTTGTCAATATGCACGGGATACAATTTGCAATACATCGTTCAACCTTTGACCTCAAATTTGGTATAAAATATTCCTGCTTAATTTGTTCTTCACCTTAATCGCATAATGACCCTTCTGATGAACCGTCTTTATAATTTCATCTTGCATCGATTCGGGCACTATTATAAGATCCAATCCGTTTTGAGATTTATACAACAAGCCTGACTTTAAAAAGTAATCTTCATATGACTGACTTTCTAGTATTTTGAATATAGGTGTGATGCCCCTATCCTGGTGTTGTGCTTTTTTAATTTTTAACGTAATTTCGTCGGTTGTTACCATCATAACCGGATATCGGCTGAGGGCGTCAACGTGTCTCATCCTAGTGCCCGCTCGGTGCTCGATCGTATATTTAAAATCTTCGAGCATTAATGCCCATCTTGCTATTCTTAGTGACAATTCTTTTTTATCCATTGTTCTCTGAAACGCGGCGCAATCAGTTACTATCTTAAAATCGATACCTAATAAATAGACTCTGAATTTTTTTAATGCAGTAACGATCGCAAGTGCTTCTAACTCATAGCTCGGATAGTTACGTTCTGCATTACTCGTTTTACGGCTGAAATAGTGAATCGGATGGAGTTTTTGATCCTCAGGTGATCGTTGCAACAAAACGGCTCCGTAGCCATGTTGACTCGCATCCGTATGCAATTCGGTTGCAAAGGTCGGATGATAAATTCTTAGAACAGGTTTCTTCGCAAGAGCGTCTTTTAATAAACAAAATGCATTTCGCTCTTTCTCGGTAAATCTAAACTTTTCGTTCTTACGCAATAGATCACTTAACGGCTTTGCAATGTTAGCATAATTGGCAATAAACTTACGAAAGTAGCCAGTAAGTCCTAAGAAGCTCTGAATATCTTTCAGCGACCTTGGTTCCGGAAATGAAGCGACTGCTTGCGTCTTATCGGGGGATGGGTGCAATGCACCGTCTTCAATAACGTATCCTAAGAAGGTAACTCGCTTTACCAAAAATTGGCATTTCTTTACGTTAATCTCAAGCCCATATTCGCTTGCCGTTTGTAAAACTCTCTTCAATCGTTTAATATTTTCCTCAACATCTGACGAAGCAATAATTAAATCATCTAAATACGGAATAACAACTCCTTTTTTTATTTCCTCTGAGAATACACAATTTATGAATCTTTGAAAAACAGATGGTGAGTTGCATAACCCGAAAGGAACTTTTGAAAATTGATATTGCCCGCAGTGAGTTACAAACGCAGTGTACTTGCGAGAATCTTCTGCTACATTTACGTGAAAAAAACCGTTTCGTAAATCCAGAGTAGTGAATACTTTTGCCTCTTGTAATTTATCTAATTGATCTTCTATTAAAGGTAGAGGATATCTGTCCTTTACCATTACTCGATTCAATTTACGATAATCAATGCAAACACGTGACGAGCCATCTTTTTTCTTTACGACTACTACTGGGCTAGCGTATTCGGAGGAACAAGGCTTTACTATACCGTCTTTCAACCAATCATGTACTTGTTTTTCAACGATATCGCGTTCTACTGTAGGTAATCTCCGCGGTCGCTGATAGATCGGCTTCTCCGACTTTACAACAATATTCATCTCAACACTCGTCGTCTTACTTCTACTAGGAGTATAACTCATCATTAAACGCTTGATTTCATTTTTTGCCTCTTCACTTACTTGCTCGCCTATATCCAAAGAAGGTTCATCGAATACATTTATGTCGGTTAGAAAGACAGATTGCTTTTCTTTTGTCACTGTCACCTCGCCCTGAGCGATAGTGACGTTAGCTTGTGACAATACGTCGCGTCCGATAATCATATCCAGCGTCATAGCGGAATTTGGAACTACATATACCTGCACCAGAAATTCCTCGTTATCTATATTAATCGTAGTCTGAAAATAACCCAATGGATTAACTTCGGCTTGTCCAAACCCAACTAATGACAGCTGAGCACTGTTTAAAGTAGGTGCTTTTAACTCGCGATAAATTCTTTCGCAAATGAACGTTACACGACTACCAGTGTCCAAGCAAGCTCGAATCTCTAAATCACCAATTAATATTTTCTTACACATATCGTCATTCGATGAAATAGAAATACTATTTACCGCGGCACTTTTATCATTGTTCTTACCATTGTTCGTTTGCTTACCTCTCGTATTCGTATTGCATTCAAAAGACCGATGTCCAAACTGGTTACATTTAAAACATTTTGGCCCTAACGCTTTTGACTTACAGTCTTTAGACGCGTGTCCGGCGTCACCACAATTATAACATCGTGCAGTCTTGATCTGAACCTCTGACTTCTTCGACGACTCCTGCGCCTGGAAAGGTTTTCTTGTGGCCATCGCTTTCCCTCGGATGTTCTTAAAAGTCTGCCCCTGACTCGCCTCCCATATTTCCTCGTAAGCCTGTAAGCGTTCCTTGAAATCACGCAGCTTTTTGGTCCCATAGAGAATTGCTTTATTTCGCTCGTCATCTTGAATGCCATGGATGATGTGACGTATTAATGCCTCGTCCTCGATCGTTCCTCTCGCTGCCAGCTCCTTCATTACCAAGTAGTATTCTTGCAATTTTTCGTCCTTCTTCATTTTTCTCTCAGCCAACATTTGATGCAACAGAGCACTATCGATTTTAGTGAAAAATTCGTCTTTTAGCATGGCCTTCAGAGTTTTCCAATTTTTCACTACACCTTCGCTTTGAACATAAAGTTTCGCAAGTCCCGTCAGAGATCGTTTGGCGAATATCAGCTGCTGTATTTCGTTCCACCCGAAAAGTGCTGCCGTGTCTTCGAAGTCTGTTATCCATCGCTCGACAGGGTAAACATCGCTGCCATCGAAGTTTCTAATGGAACCCTCAACGTCTCGAAATATTAGTGAAAAATCGTGGCGTCTCATTGTTGTACCCTCTTGTCGTCTCACAGGTAACTCGTTGCGTCCTGCTTGCGGTGCGGCGTTCCTTACATGCGGCGTATCTACATTACCGGCATTGCTCGTACTGGCCTCGGCTGCATCGCCGCCCCTTATTGTCACATTCACTTCCTCGTCGGAACTGTCGTCATCGCTGTCAGCGTCATCATCATTTTGACCAAGCGCACTAAAATCCATCAAACCATTGCAAATCCGTTCGGCTTTCTTTTGACCCTCCGTAATCCAAACAAAGAATGTTACAAATGGCAATCAGATCACGTTCCGTGAAAGTTTTCTGAATAAATGTGACTTTATTTCGATGTTCGTTCCCTCCGTCTTGAAACGTGAATCCGTTGAAGTTTCTCAGTCGGCTACGATTTTTCCGATCGCCTGTTTCACCAAACACCAATTCATGAAATGGTTGAATAATCTTCTTGGGTGCCGTCGTGATGTTTTTCAAAATTCTAGCGTTTCCTCCTAAGCCTTCCATTGTGTTCGGAACTATTTCTTCTTCAACGTAACCTTACTTTACACACCGCACTCCTTCGTCTTGTGTGTCGTAACTTGCACGCATGCGTCGTCCTGCGCCTTTCGCGGATTCACTATGGCGTCTTGTCTCGTTCTTCCGAAATGTTCTAGAATCTTCCTCTCGTCTTTCGTCACCTTATGCGAATTCAATATGGCGCTTCGTCCTTCCGGAATGTTCTAGATTCTTCCTCTTGTCTTTCGTCTTCTTACACCTTTCGTCTTTCCACGTCTTTTCTTTATTCTCCCGTTATCCTCTCGTCTTTCTTCGTCTTTCGTCTTTTCCCGTCTTTCGCCTCACCTCTGCACCGTTTTACTTTCCGCGACCTGAATCAACGTCTTCGATTACAGATAGCTTCGTCTTGCGTTGTACAATGACTTAGTATCACCGGGCAAAACAATTCCTAATTCTTCAGAACCTTTATGACTCACTTATCTGGTAATATCCCGGACGAGCCCCCAAATTTGTAGGAATTATACTCGTGGGTGATACTTATTGTTAGAATATATATTCACTTAAGAAAAGAAAAGATACAATTAGTGAACTGGCACGTCCTTAGCTCACAGGACAACGAACGACTCTCCCTACATCCGTCATACAGCGCTCTCTGCTCACACACGCACACACACTCTCGGTCGGCGCCCGGTGCGCCGCCGACTGCGACGGCGCGCATTTTGGATCTCGGTACGCTCTCGCACTCCTACAGTAGTGTGTACAGATCTTGCTGTTGTATAGGTATTCGAATTTCGTCGTTGTATTCAAATGTAGTGTTAGCGTATGGATTGTAAGTATGAGTTTCGATCTTGACAATACGATCGTCGAAGATCGGTTCATCACCGATGTTCAGGATATCTCGGGTCATATTCGTTTCTCACGGCGAGACCCAACGATCGAAGAAATGCTACATTCGCAGCGGTTAATCTACGTGTACCTTTCAACTTTCCTCCTATCTTCTTTTTTCTCCTTCTTTTTGCACTCGTTGTATGTTGTGTCTTTGTCGTGTAAGATTCGTTTAGTACGAGCATCTTTCATGCGAGTGCATAATTATCGTTTGCGACGTATGTGAAGTCGAACTGTTATTTCTTCCCCGCGAAAATCGATTAATCGTCCGTTTTGATCCACAATGCGTAGCGTGATATCGGTGACGCTTCGCGCGATCACTGGAAGATAAATGATCTGCGATGGCGCTTCCGACAATTTATACCCCGGCGGAACGTTTGCTGCAAATTCGTGTATCGCATGTATCGGCTTGTCGTTGTTGTATGCGCCTGCGGTAATGTTACATTCGATACGAATCATGTTTACGCTCATAATATTCACGGGTTCGTCTGATGCGTGCCATTTATTTGGTTCCAATACGCGAGATTTCGAAAAGCCTAATAATGCGCCAATATTGTTTGGTTTAGTAAAGTTTATTCTATATGCACACCACAATTCGCTTCTCATGGTATTTTCATTTGCACGAAGCATTATTAAACGCTCATTCTCCTTATCCTCTTCATCCTCCTCGTCAATGTATATGTAGTCGTCCTCATTCTTATCGTTATCGTTGTTTTTCTTGTTGGTATCCTTGTCAATTGTTTTTTTTGTCTTTTCGTCGGTTGCTCGTCGTTGTCTACGACGAATGGCGGCTCTTAAATATCTAGCAACAGCCGATAATTCATAGGAACCTATGGGAATCGTAATTATTTTGTCGTCCTCGTCGAAATAGAATTTATTCTTCGTGGTATCGACGTTCGGTATTGTGTTGTATGTTTCAAAATTGGTAAGACCAAGTTCATAATCGTCATCACTTAGATCTAGAGCAGGAAAGTAGTTCGCCGTGAGAACGTTACTTTTTCCGCTCAGCGTAAGAATCGTTGACATGATTCTAAACTTTTTTTTTAGAGTGATTAATCTCCCAGAGAAAACGTAGACACAGCTGACCACAAACACTCTGATCGAATTTCTGAAATGAGTGGTGATTGTATGTTACAATCACGTTGTTTCCAAGATATTGCACGAGTTCTTTTGGCGGTCGAAGATTACCGAATGCGTCGAAATAGATCACGTTTTTATCCCTTTTTGTGTACGCGACCCAATGTGTACCTGCCCCTGTAGAATCGTCAAGATTCACAATACCGCTCTCGTCGCGATGTGGCTTCGTCGGTAACGAATCTCGCATGAATACGCCTCTAAAAAATGGTATACGTAGTTTTGATGCTGCACGACTTAACTGATCATTAGTTGTAACACCGGTACGCGGTAATTTCAGCGTTTTTAACGTTTCTTCCCATGTATCTTTTTTTTTTTTTAATCTTTCTCTTAACACCGGCACCACGTTTGTATGGAATGAGATGCAATCCGCGGCCTTCTAATGCACGATTGTGTCGCTGCAACTCCTCCAATTGTCGTTTTGCAACCTTACTGTCATTCACGGCTTTTGCAACGCCTGCAGCGCCGCCGATTAAAGAGCCTAGCGCACCGAGCATCGGTAGAATGGGTAGGAAACCTCCACGTTTTGCTATTGGAAGTATTCTCCTCGTTGTCTTTCTTCTTTTTGTTCCTCTCTTTTTTCTTGTTACTCCCATACCTAGTTTCGTTTTTGCTTTCATAGCTGCCCATACGGCGGACGCGGCTACTCTTTCGCCAAGTTTTGCGTTGCGTGCTGTGACGCGTGCGCGTGCTTTGTTCGCGAGCACGTGATCGGCGATGTGACGATCGACGAGTTCGTTGCTCCGCGAATAGGCGACGTCGTGTTCACGACACGCCGCATCCAATGGATTGATGCCTTGATCACCACGCGTTAGTCTTTTCGCGAGACGTGTACCGGGGCCGCAAAACTGATATCCAGGTATATGTAATTCAAAGGGTAAGGCGTTTAACGTTGTGTTGAGTAGACCTTTGCCTCCCCGCGTCGCACGGAACATCCGCTGCAATTTTTAATGAGCGGTG